GGTAGGCATGGCCTTTCGCCAATCGAGCTCCATGATTTGGAGTGGCCGTAAGCAGACAGGGGCTTGCAGCGTTGAACGGCCGATTGGGCTCCAGTACGGCCCACCAAAGTTGAGAGAGGCTTCAGAAAAAGGACGCCAAAAAAGCTCAACTGCATCACCATGTTCAAATCCGGTTCGCAAGTGTAAATGCCATCTTGGATTTTAGCTCAGCCGGTTACGACATTGTTCCAACTGCAAATCGCACCCTGGCCGTGTCCATGGCAGCTCTTGCTCCTCGTTGCCAATGTCCACGATTTGATGTTGACTGACGACTTGACAACTCGCCGAGTCGCGGGCCTGTCTGTCCTTCTTCGGCCGACGATTATCTCCAAGGTCCATGGACAACAGACCATCTCCAAGGGCTTGGCTCCGGAATGCGGCACTTGCTGAGTAGGCTCTCCAGTCTCCACCACAGGAGACCATGTATGTAGGACGTCTCGCCCGTGGTCTATTCCAAAGTTTGTACAAGTACTGGAAATGATGAATATGCAAACCTTGAGACCCAGCGGTGTAAGAATCACACAGTCACATGACGCAGCGCGACAAGGAATACCATGCTACCATGGAGCTCCTGTTGACGATGGACCTTTATGTCGCGCCCGGCATGAGGGTATGTATCAACTGTATCAATCACACAACTTAATGTGTTGGTCCTTGTTCTTTGCTGGCCCCCGTCTGTGGACCCCGATTCATGATGCAGGCAGCTCTGACTACCCGTGGGCCGTAACAACACGAAAAGGCCATTAGGCCCCTGGCAACCCAGTCATCAATGGATCAATGGACGCTTGAATAAGCCTAAGTCTCAAGCTTCAAGTTCCGAACATTGGAGCCATGTTGTCGACATGAACGCTGCGACCCCCTCTCTGAGGCGTCGATTCATCGAGTCTTGGAATCCTAGCCTCAGGCTTGGAAGGCCGCTCTGCCGGCCCCAACCCACCACCAGGTCTCATCAAGCAATGTCTTGGCCTTTCGTGAATTGTGCTTTGAGGCCGAGTACGGAGTATGGTGGGATGGATTCCTGGGACTCGCAGGCTTGCCAGCCCTGATAGCCGACGGGCCACAACTAGTAAAGCCGGCTCTTAGATCCGGTTTGACGCAGTCACGGCGCTGCGGAATGCCATTGACAAATTCATCCTCAAGATAAAAGTAAAGGTCAGCAATGGGGCCTTGTGGCTGATCTACTGGCCGCGGAATTTTCTGATGCGTGGCGTCACAAGGGGGACGGCGCGGGCTAGCCTCCAGCGATACCTCCTCTAACCCGTTTGCTTGTTCAGCCAGAGCAAATGGTGATGCGCCACCTCCGCACGCTGCTTCTTATTCTTCTAGTTCTTCTTGTCCGGGCTATGGGCATCTGGTGGGGACAATACGGTCAACTGTCCGCCGTTTGAGGCTGTTTAGGCCCCGGACGTGGGCCGAAATCTGATTCCCCTATGCCATGAGCGCGAGCGGCGATTTTTGTTGTGTCGGTCAACACGATCAATATCTTGATTCTTGGGTGCTGCCTTGGATGCGGCATAGCAAACCCTACAACGTTGGACTGCAAGATGCACACGTGAACCACTCTGACTGAGACTCCAGAGCACCTCATACCAACCAAGTAGTGCGTTACTTGGGACTGGTCCTGTTGTCGCCGAGTGCTAGAGGACCCGAGCCATTTTAATTGGTAGTCGCCATTCTCTTTCCCCGGAGCGCCACCAACCCCCGCGTTCTGTGGTGAACCAGGTAGGTGTATTATGTGGAAGAGGGTTAGCGTTAGGCGGGTGAAAATACCCTTTTAATTAACTCTTTGAATGACCAGCACCCGACGCAGGGACACGGACTTGGTCAACGTCTTCCGGCTCATTCTCGTCACCATCTCCTCACGACCGCCGTAATCAGCTGCGAGAGATAATGCGACATCACACGAAATCAAATTGAATTACATATTGAAAAAAGTTAAACCCCCACCCCCCGCCTCGCAAATATCATGCCAGTCCCTGCTCACGGGCCAAACCCAACTTCCTTTCTTCTCATGCCCAGCTAGCTGCGGGCGCAAAACGATGCCGATCCCGCCGCCCAGCTATTTCTATCCGCCGCCACGACCATCATAGTGACAGCAGCACAAGAAGCCCAGCTCCTGCCACAGAAGTGCATCGGTTAAACTCCCCCAACATTAGAAAATAGCCCATATCGCTACGCCCCATGTCGAAACCCGCCCTTTCTCCCCCCCCCCCCCCCGCCGCCGCCGTAATCAGCTGCGAGAGATAATGCGACATCACACGAAATCAAATTGAATTACATATTGAAAAAAGTTAAACCCCCACCCCCCGCCTCGCAAATATCATGCCAGTCCCTGCTCACGGGCCAAACCCAACTTCCTTTCTTCTCATGCCCAGCTAGCTGCGGGCGCAAAACGATGCCGATCCCGCCGCCCAGCTATTTCTATCCGCCGCCACGACCATCATAGTGACAGCAGCACAAGAAGCCCAGCTCCTGCCACAGAAGTGCATCGGTTAAACTCCCCCAACATTAGAAAATAGCCCATATCGCTACGCCCCATGTCGAAACATGATGTGTCCAAGCACGATACACACAGAGGTACGTATCCCGGTCGGATACGGAGTACATTGGATGAAAATAGAGACACCATCTATACAGCAAGACCCGAGGCTCCAAGATTATGGCCCTCATTTTCCTATCAGGTTTTGCCAACTCGGCGCAATTTATCACGAGGTGCCGTGAAAAAAAGTGCTCTCCATAAAGCCCCAAAAAAGCATTCCGTCTCTTTTACAACTCGTTTCTCCAAACTGACATATCCCATGCCCCCCTTTTAATTATCATTTAAAAAAAGAGTCTAGGGGCCCCGGGCCGGGGGGGGGGGGGGGGGGGGCATTTTTGTGACGTGG